ACACTTCACTTGGTCGATCGTTAATCCACTTGAAGGCTTCATGGCCCGCATCGCTCGCCCAAGGCTCGACTTGAACAACGACAGCCACATTGTCCGGACATCCCAATGCCTTAGGGCATTTGACCCATCTCAGTATTATCTCACCGCAAAACGACAACAAATCAGCGTTTGGGGGCTTTCAGGATTTTTATGGATCTGTATAGAAATGCATTGGCTGTTGGAGTCGGAGTATTATGTATTATTCGGTCACTTCATGTTTTCTAGTTTTAATTTTTTTGCGGTGTTTGATGATGGGATGTAGCTAGGAGACGCGCCAAATCAATTTCAGCAATCCTAAGGCCCTGCGTGAACTGCTTTGGGATCCTTTGCTGTCATCCGAGATTCGTATCAAAACTCTACAGCAAGGCGGGGGTCATGTTGGACCTTTGCGGCGTGAATAAATCAGAGTGCGCCGCTTCTCGTAGTAGCTTCCCCCCTCCTCCCCCCCTCTCTCCCTCCCTCTCTCGCTCTGCGTTTTAGAGTTGATGCTCTTGAACCTTCTGGAAACCCTATCCTGCTTCAGATGGCATGCCGCTGTACCACTACCATACCACTGTGTCATGGGGAGCTTCCACACGGGAAACTCAATTTGGTTGCAACGGTCCCCAATCAAGGCCTGCATGGCCTGTAGGCCCTTCCGATGCTTGTTGAGCTGCATCAAACCAGGCTTGTTCCTGCTGGCTTGAGGCACACGCATAAGCATAAGCATCCTCTTCATATGGGGGGATATTAATCAAGAGCCTACATTAAGTATGCATAAGTACTGCATAAGTCATACGCCTGCAAGCATTCCCTGGTTCCAATCTCTGGAGCTTTCTGGAAGCATCCGAATGGGATGGGGAGTGCAACATGTGCAGTGCAGGGCAGGCTGAAAGCGCTCTCACAGTACAAGGCATAGTAGCCGACCAACAGAGGAGTTTGGGAGGTGGTTTTCCTGTACCTGTGGCCTGTGGCTTAGTGAATTGAGGGGGGCTGTGCATGTTGCTTGCTTGTGCTTTACCACCAGGCTTCAGAGTCGCGGACGAGAACAAGGATGGGCATTTAAGTGCCTAAGCTCAAAGTGAAAAGATACATTTTAGGACCCGTTGTCAATGTTGCGTGGCGCGCCCTGCAGCACCTTACAATTATCAGACAGCAGAAGTGAAGCCATTTCTTGTTTTGTTTGGCCCAGCGGTCTTGGAGTGAGTGCTCGAAATGTCCTGTACCGTACTTGGATGTATTCAGTATTCACGAGTGCTTGCATTTTTGGGGAGAGATTTGCCACTGGCCGCCCACCACGGGCAGTCAGCAAGTCAGGTTCATCAACATGTTTGGGCTATCTATCAAAACAGCCGGAACTGTTCTTCGAGAAGATGTCTTCTGTACAACTTGTTATGCAACATGCAGGTGCGCTTTGCTCAAGATTCCATGTGTTCTCCTTAACATCATGCTTGGACGCATTCTTGATCTTCAACGTTGAAATTCTCCAGAAGAGTGGCATGGACATGGCTCGATAGCGCTGGTTTGCACAGGAAAGAGCAATAGTCACCTAGGGTCCCAGCATCCATGTCAATGTTCCGGTAAAGGCCGGCCTTCAATTATGTAGCCACGTCCGACTGTTGGAAAGTCCGGTCCAAGGTGCTTCTGAGTTGGAAAGGCCTGGGAGCTTTGCGGGAGCTTTCTGCCGCGATGGTTGGGGAAGGTCTTGCTATGTCGAACAACTTATTAGGCTCAGATTGCAGAAGGGGAGTTTTCAATGTCCACGTTTACTTTCGCCCGACCTCAAGGTTAGGGTCTTGTCAAAACACAGGTCTAGTTGGAGGGCCGGTATGGTCTAGTGGCTGTGTTGTATCCTTCATGGGTCGGAGCCGGGTTCAATCCCTGGGTGCGACACTCGGCGGACAGGTGGGTCACTACCCCACCTTGCAGTTATATAATGTTATATAAGGGGATGAGCTAGCGTGTGGACCTTTAAAGCAGTAAAGCACCACCACCACAACAACAACAACACCAACACAGGCGTATATAGCTTCCAACCAGCTGACTTGCATGGAAGAATCAACAAGAGTTTGAAGAATCAGAGATGGCAATGGCTGATTTGACTTGTGACATCGTGGATTGGCGGTTGCCCCTTGCCTAAATCACCAGGCCTTTGGCACAGCATTTGCTCCACCTGCTGGAAGACGCGGAGCGTTTCACGGCACCAGATGCCCTTCACCACTGTGGACGGCTGTGGGCACCAGCGGATGAGAGTGACGCGGTGCGTGCGTTGGAAGAGTGCGGCTGGGAAGCCCGGAGGTAGATGGGCTGTGGAGAGGCATCACCTAAATTCAACTCCGAGATGTGATGTCTACTAGCTTCTTTTTACTACTAGTAAGGCACTTGTTACTAGTAGCGATGCACTTGTTACTAGTAGCTTATATATATATATAGTTCGACAACTGGAAGGCAGATCTAGCATGATGTGAGCATCCAGCATGATGTGAGCATCCTTGCCGAGATAAATGATAAACATCAGTCAGATAGCCTAACTGAAGGATAAGCACAATGTTGCTCAGCGTTGTTGACGGAGGATGAGGGCTGCCTGCCATCCCTTCCTTGTTTATTTTGTATTTACAACCCCATTAAAATGTTGGACGGTTTCACTCACTCTGTCTAGGTAGAGCACGCGGGTTGTTCATGGTGGTTCTGTGGGATTTATCTTGGGGGCAGGGGTTGCACCACACTTGTGATGTTGAAAAGCACCAATCCAGTTGTCAGGCTATCTTCACCTCCTCCCTGGCCTTTTCACTGGTCGACAAGCAGCCCGGTTGCACCATCTCCAATGTTCGGATGGACATGAGCACGGCAGACTTCCCCAGTGGATCCATTGAACGGTCGTGGCATCTTTCGTACGTGTCTGGCCATCACGAAAAAACACAGAAGAACCAAGCCCAGCCTAGAGTCTTAGATGGTTATCACACATAATCACGATGTTCCATTTTAAATGACAAGACATGATAAAGGGTCGGTCACGCTACGACATTTGCAGGTAGATTCGGTGTGTGTGGATGGTGGCATGGGGGTCCAAGAACCCTACCTTCTAGATTTTATATAGATGTGGATCTTGGGGCACTCCTACACGTACCGAGTTTCGCTGGTTGGTGAGAGGAAAATCGTTCTCACCGCATGCGTTTGGAAGGGGGATGAAGGGAGTTGTGGTGGACATTAACTTAAGATTTGACAGCGTGCCCAAGTATCAGGGAGTGTGCCCAAGTATGGTTTTTATATGTCTTTATATATATATTTCAGTAGTAAGTTTGTGTTTTGAGAATGGGCAACTCACTCCACGCAGGTCTCCGACATGTTTGCCGTGGCCAAAAAGTTCAACTGTAGCGAGGCCTGGGACTTCCTCCAGTGTCTTCTCTGGCTCACGGAGGGGCAAGTCAACAACCACCATTGATCTTTGTTGATTTGGTCCCAGCATGTCCCAGCACTTGTCTCTGACTTCCTCCCATTTCGAAGTTTGCCCCTGTGTTTGTCCTCATTCATAACCCCCCCTCAGAGCAATTTGGAGCAGCCAATGCACGAGCGATCGTTTGGTCAGTAGACGCACGGTCAGTCATTTGTTGTACATGGTTTCGGGTACAGTAACTCCAACAGACCCACCGCTGGAGCAAAATCAACGATTGAGTAATTATATAGAATTTGTGCCTTCGACTTAAACGCCGCACCAGCTACGGTTGTGCTTGACACGTGGGTTTGGTTTTCTTTCTCCACAATCTTGGTCAGGCGCCGGCCGATGCATTTGAGCAACTTGGCTTCAGAAACACAGACGAAGTTTTCTGGCCGTGTTGGATTGTCCAGTCACCAGAAGAAACGTTTCCAACAATTTGGATCTGTGAGGAACTTGCTGTGCCGCAAGCGCATGGTGGATCCAATGGCGACAAAATGCAAAGGCATATTGAACGGATACCTTCACTCATTTGGAAGATAGTCATGTGGGTGTCAGTTGTTTAGAATTTATATGAATTTATCGTTTCTTCCTTTCCAGTTGGAACACACCGATTTCACACCTTCAGGTCTCAGCCTTTGCCGGGCATGTTGCAGCGCTTGCTGCAGGCGAGCGAGGGAACCGGGTAACCGAGAGGTGTGGGTGGAAGAGCCGCTTGAGTGTGTTGATCTTCAGCGTTGATAGCGTTGCGAGTCTTCCACCCTACCGGCGCACAAGAGATGTTCAATGGATGCTTTGGTCAGCCCAATTGTCCACAGCTTAGTTTGCAGACCCTCACAAAGTGGACGCCACAAAGCGTCCGCATGCGAGCAGCAGTAGGGAGTGGGTGGGAGCCGTTTCCAACAAGAGGCGACTCAAGAGGCGTCGTGTTCAACTGCACTTGATCCACAGGATCAGGTCGTCGTGAGATTCCTATGTCCACGACCATGCGAGGTGAAGCCATTTAGCCTCCATGGCCCAGTGGAGCACCAACTCATCAAGGTTCCTTTGATATACAGTCAGGGTCATTGCTAGCGACTATAATATAATGCTGGTGGTATTTTGGAGACGTGGTGTTGCGATATGTTGGGTATATCATGGTATATCGGAGACATCCAGGCAGTCCCCTCAAGATCTATGGTGCAAGTCCTCGTTCGACATTAGACCTTTGCTTTGGCTCACGCTTGGTCAGGCGGCAATGAGACCAGATGAGTGCTTCTCGGCAAATCGGGCTGGCTGTCAGAGGAAGTTGCCAAGCCTCCACGCCCGCTACGCAAAAAAACGGTGATTTCTCTCCGGAAGTTTCTGGGAACATCCTAATATACGAAGGATTCAATCGAGAAGCACCAGCATCATAGGTATGCAGGAGGGGGGCCTTGTTGACACGCACAGAATTAGAACGCCTTCGAACGCCCCAAGTGTCCAGTGCTTTCAACGATTTGGCCTACTAGCTATGGGGTTCTCTTCTGATTCTGTAGGTCCCTGATATGACACGTCCCGCGGCTGTCGGAGTTTTAGCTCAGCCCGGCCTGGCCCCTCGCCCCGGTTGTCCTCGCACCATGTGGCGCTTGGCACTTCTGCTGCTTTTGCCGCCGCTTCACAGGTGAGAGCGCTGGGATTGGACCCACTGGGAACCTCAAATCTGCGGATTTTCTGTCATGTTGGTGGCAGAGTTCTCATTGTGATACGAAGAGCATGAGTGAGTGAGAGACATTGATCTTGAATAGGTATCATGTGACTTGCAGACTTCTTGAAGTAACGTAAAGCATAGATCCCTTGAACCCCTCAGATCTCCTCAGACACCTGACAGGCCGGTTCAGACGGAATCTCCGGGCGCCCCAAGCCCATGACCGTCGACCCGCTCGAGGTCGGAAGAATGCAGTTCCTTCTTACAGACGGCCGAGTCCAAGACCATCGAGCCAGGTGAGGACACTCAGGGCCCTACAAGGATCCCCTGTGTGATCCACCAGGTGTGGCGCAAGGATCTCCCGGAGGCTGGATGGGGTGGGGCGCGAGAGACTGTTGCAAGAGGATCTCATCTTGGAAGGTGACACCGGGAGGGACAGGGCTGGGCTCACCAAGTCATCCAAAGCCTCAAGTCTGATAAAGGACCGCTACAAGAACTGAGATATGATATATTGCTTCAGATCTTTACATGGACCTAGTGGACTAAGATTGCAGATAATTGAATGGGACATTCTACAGGCTTTCTTTCTACCTCTCATTTCTGAATGATCCTATTCCATCCACTGCTTCTTGGGATCCATACCCAAATGTGGGCGGGTCTTCAACTAGGCAACCTCTCCAATCCATAGTGACATAGAGTTCTTCTCCCTGTGACCAGCTGGTAATTAGGTCAGGCCACGTCAGGATTACTGTATTTGTTGTGCATTGTTGTGCATTTGCATCAGATGCCCCCCCGGCACCAAGGATGCTCAACAAAAGGCCCTAGAGAGCTGGACTTCAAAGAATCCCTTGTGTCGGCACAAGATTTGGAAGGAGCAGGAGAAGCTGCGGCAGATGGTGGCGGAAGTTGCAAGGGATGTATGGCTCATTTCGGGGAAGACTAGAGTGACTAGAGGTTCAAGATGGGTGGGAGATGTTTTATTTACCAACCTAAGGCTTCTCTAGCAATGCACTTCCCAACTCTCATTGCTGCCGATGGCTCGCCCCTCTACTTAGCTCCGGGATTTTGAAGACTTTGCTGGCTCATACTTCAAAGACTCCAGAAATTGCGGACCGCCCCATCAAAAGGGCCCAGACATCACCTATGGCTACAGGAGATGGCGCATTTTGTGCGAGAGAAGTCACCCGATGTGGTTTGGCCCATGTGGATTGGGCTCTCAGCATCAGAACGTGAAGATGTCTTCCACTACCTTGTGGGATTCGAAGAGGGGGGGTATATGGCCGACAGCGGCGTCACGTGTGAGAAGCCCATTGATCAGTTTCCTGCATCTGGGCAGAGAAAACGATGGTCTCAGCCTGTTCTGGGAGGTTAAAGGTTCCTCACATAGTCACAGAAAGGCAAACACTTGGCAAGATTTTGATTTGTTCCCTAACTCTTTACAGTTTTAGTTGAATTTTAGGCTACAGTAGCCTGATATTGGGCCTTAGAGACCCCCTACGGCCATTCGTGCAGCCAGAAAACGGCTGGAGGGGTTGTCCGCACATGACCGAGACCACGCCACCCCGCGTCCGAGGTGCCCAAGAACGCGACGATGATCGTTGGCTATGAGTTCGGCCACCGCTTCACCGAGGTGCAACGCAAGAAGGCCAACTTCGCTCGCACGGAGCAGTTCGCCAAGCAGCTGGCCCAGTTTGGGTGAGAGGGTTCTGGAGGGTGAAGTGCTGTGAGGGACAAGACAGCGAAATGAGGTGCATACTGTCATACTGTGAATCTATGAGCATGCTTAGATACAAGAGTGCAAGAAGCTTGTGCATTCACACGCCATGTCAGATAGCTCGAGAGCGACCAACCAATTTGACCACTGGCCACCCACATAGCAGAATCAGCCATTCCAAGAAGTTCATTCTGCAATGACATGTAATGAGTAATGCTTCTTTTCTTGGTTGGTGCTATGGCCAAGTTTGACCCAAACCAGCGGTTCCCGTTGGTTTTGAGAACTGTTTCTTTGGTAAAACAAATCCTGGACTGCTCATTGAGGTACTTCTTCGCATCGGCACCCGGCAATCCTATCCTGAAGCGTTGCTTGCAGCTGGTCAGGCAGAGGTACACATGGAAAGTTCAGGCTCCCCAGGATTTGACAGGCCGGGCTGCTGTTTTTTGAACCTCATGAGCTTTCAGACGTCTGACGTGACTATGATTGGACATGATAGGACCATGGTGCAGCTAGGGTGGGAGCTTCTCCCACCATTAGGGAGTGCAAGTAGCTTGATATTTCTAAACATGCCACAGGTTTTGCACTTTGGACCTCCAGTTGGGCTCTAGGCGCCGCTACCTTCAGTGATGCAGTCCACGAGTTTCTGGACAAGAACACCCCAGAGGCATTGGAACATGAGATTTCTATCCGTCAAAACCGGCCCAGCTTGCATTTTCTGAGCCACTTGGACAGCGAAGCAACCCCACAGCGCGTGGGCGTCCGACTTGTTGAAGTAGGATGGACTTGTGGAAGCTACTAGGGGTTCTTGGCCTTACCACTAGGGCTGGGATGGCACCCGATGAGAAAAGGAGACTAATCCTTGGTGAAACGGTGAACACGGGTGTTTGGGAAAGGCCGGTCCAGGCCAGGCGTCTAAACAATTCTCTATGGTTCCGATTGTCGACACCTGGGACCCGCCCAACTGTGAGTCCAGTCCATTGCAGTCTTCTCATTGCGTCCATTGGTCAATTCTGAATGTGATAAAATAATTAAACTAAACAAGTCATTATACAAAACATGTCAAAGCACACAAAACCACCGATGTCGCTGCTTTGCCATGCATCCAGTCCAACAAAGCTTCGGGATTGCCAAGGCTACCCCAGTGAGAGGAGACTTGGCGCTGATTTGGTGAGCTGGACTTGTTGGATGATTTAGTTATGATGGTCGTGGATGATGCTCCTGAAACGTCCTGGCGTGACCCATTCCCCGCACTTCAATGTTTGGGGGTCGACCTTGGAGCGAGAGACGTAAGTCAGGGTGGACAGATTGAGCTGTTGGGACCTTTTTCACAAGGGAAATTGTCTTTGGACGCCTACTCAATTTAGCTGTTTCCTGCGGTTATTGCCAGTAGTAAAGCCAGTCAAAGACCTTTGTTGAACACACAAATTTGTGGTTTGCAGACAGTGACTGCAAGTTTGCATCAGGAATAGCACACTGCAAGGTATGTAAACGATCCTTTTGTGGGGGGCTGCATGTGTACCGTTGTACCGTGTGTATATATATATAAGATATGTATATAGGGAGGCTTAAAGGCAGAGAGAGAGAGGGAGAGAGAAAGAGATGAATCCATGAGGTTGTTAAGATCTAAGGTGAAAAGAAAAACACCCGTTCAGTTATCCCGTGTTGGGGCTAGGCGCCCAGCAACAAACTGCGTCGTTTGAGGTTGTACGGCCAGGACGACTGGAAGCTTTGGATCTTCGCTGCTGGACGCGTGAACGAAGCACCGCAGGTGGCCAAGGACGACCCTCCAGAGGCGCCCACACCTCTGTTGATCGCGCGGAATGCGGCACCGGCTCCGGCAGAGGCGGCAGAGCCGGAGGCGCCATCGAAGTGAGGGGTGAGTGGCGGTGTATACATGTTCTGGGAATCAAGCTTGGTTTACATGTGCCACAAATGTGGCGCCAATTCTGAGCTTCTAAGAGCTTCGTGAGTGTGGGAAGAAATTCCATGAACAGAGGGCATCGAATTAGTGAAATCATTGTGACGCTAGTCCTCTCAGACGATTCAAGAAAGAGTAGGCTAAGCGCAGCCTAGTCCACAATGTAAAACCCTCACAGGCAACTGATTCACTATCCATTTGAGAAACCCCACGTGAATGAGAGCCAACTTGAGACAAACTCTCCTGGATTTGCAGGAGCTCGGAATTGGAACAGGGCGGGAAACATGTCTAATTCGTCGGAGATCCCAGAGCTTGCTCGTCCACAAGGCACCTTCAGGTCGCACCACCAGGTGGTAGTGCACCCAGTACGTGTATTGCCTTAGTCACCCACATGTATTTCAATGAGACGTAGGTTATAACTTATAACGCGAACATGCCGATATAGCATGCAGACATTGCGAATGAATGCAGGATTTCATTGGCGAGTAATTATCCTTGATTGATTGTGCATATGTTTGGGTGCACTAGTGGAGTAGGACAGAAATGGACAGGAATGCACAAGTACGGTTACGCACATGCATTGGCATGCAGGAACACGCAGAAACCACGCAAAGGCATATGCCTTTGCGAGCAGATTTCAGCGTTCAACATCGTTTTTCACTATTGAACGGTATTTCCATGCCAATGCACAAATCGGAGCATGCAGAATCATGGGAAGGATTGTGACATATTGCAACACTTGCTCACAGTTCTCTCCAGCATGCCGGGTTTGGAGGACGGTGGAACATTTCATCCATGTTGGCCCAATGTTGGCAAAGCTTTTGCAGCTGCAGTGCGGGTTGATACCCGATCGCCAGCTCTCACCCTCACGATGACCCTGCCAGCATCGGCTTCATGGGCAGATCCCCATGTAGAATGGGGCGACCAGGGCCAAATCCGGACCCTGGCTTTATCGAGAGCATTAGACAATTCTGGTGATAAACCCGCAAGAGGGATGTAAATCAGCATCATCGTCCCAAAAAACATGCTTGTGAATCCTGTGTGCATCGTCAAGATTCTAAACGTAGAGAACGGTGGGTCATCCCAAATGTCCTTAGCATCCAACAAACATTTTGGCCTGACACGATTGATCCCATAAGTGGATCGTAGGCGAAAAGAGAAAAGGCGCAGGCTACACGGAGACCACACTGTGTTACTGTGGGTGGTGCCCAGTTGTCCTAGATGACACCGTTGAACGCGGCATAGCGACCCTTAAAATTGCAGCTCCCCAAAGGAGGTAACCAATGTTATGTTCCATGTTTGTCCATCCGTTTGGACTTCCATATGTATAGACTGCATTGAGATGTATCAACCTGATTTCAAGATGCACCACCTTGCGCCAGAACATTTGTTTTTCTCACAGGATGATTTGCTCCCTCATACAAATCCCATGCTGGTTGGACATGGACGTTTCAGGTGCGCGCTTGAATCGGGAGCCTCCTTTGGACCTTCGTTGGTCTTACATGCAGGTTGAGTTTATTGCCATAGCGGAGCCCGTCTGATGTACCAAAATGTGCGTATGAAATTGGGCACATGATTTGAACAGACGAAGAGCTTACCAAGCTCCCTTAAAGAAGACCCTTGTTCTGTGCACCTGCACACTTTTATGGGCTTTATGTAGGGCACTCCCCAAGTTCAGCACGCCAATGAACCCCAGTGGAGTAGTGAATGCACATGTCCCTTGCCCACAGTGTCCAGGTTGTGACCAGAGTCCACCACGAGCTCAGTGCTTGCCAGAGCCCGAGGCTCTCCCAAGGGACCAGCGTCGTTTGCATTCGGGGCGGTTGAGTCCATCGTATTCTTGAGAATTCCTCAGCAGTTGGGTTGGGTTAGGGCTGTAGGGGGTGAAGACGGTCTGAGTGCCATCACATTCAGCCGTTGACAGGGCTGGAATAGACCGGGGTGTTGGTCAATCGGAGTGTGGGGGCGAACTTGGTGGTGCGAGATTTGTATTAACACTATAGGAACATGTAGTATGTCGTTCACAATAGTTCACGCACTTGGAACTCATGGTGTGTAGCAGGTGCAAGTCTTGACCCACCGCCACGCCATGAGCGTGGACTCTGACATTAACCATGTATTGCAAAGTGTTGAGGAGTACCGATGGCATGGGACTACATCGGTCCTCAAGCTACCTCAAGCTCTACTGTCTATTATGCTTAATTAAGTGCGGCTTTGAGAAATACCATATAGGTGGTTCACATGCCAATTCATGCCACTAAGTCACTTGAGGCCAGAGGGGGTGAACGAAAGCTAGCCGGGCTTCCGGTGGTCTGCTGCTGGTGCTGCTGCTGCTGGTGCTGCTGCTGCCGCTGCTGCGCTGGGCGCTGCTGCGCTGGGTGCTCTGCAGGCGCCGGGTCGTCTGCTGCTGCTGCTGCTGCTGGCGCTGGGTGGTCTGCTGCGGCTGCTGCTGCCGCGGCGTTGGGTATGCTGCTGCTGCTGCTGCCGCCGCTGGGTGGTCTGCTGCTGCTGCTGGTGCTGCTGCTGCTGCTGCCGCTGCTGCGCTGGGCGCTGCAGATGCTTGGTGTGCTGCAGCTGCTTGGTGGTCCCGCTCACCGCGCGCAGGGGGGAGTCGAACCGCGGGGGGGGGGTGAAAGAGTGACTAGGGCGTACACGGTAGAGGTGCAGACCGCTAGTGTCTTTTATGCGCAGAGTCTTATCCTCTTGCTCTTTGAGCCTTGAAGCAGTCAAGCATGGACACACTATATCAGCTGTTGGAGTGGAACCCTGTACAGGTAGGCTCTACTTTTCAGCAGGCACAAGATTCATGTCCACTTCTAGCTGATTGCGTATGTCGCATACTCTTTTTCTACTGCAAGGCTAAATCAGTCCAGCTAGCTCTGACAACTTAAAAGAAAACTACGGTGCCATGTACTTACCTAATCCAGTGTGTTTCACACTTCAGAGAAGGTAATCTCATAGCTACTAAATACAGTGAGGGAGCAATAGCTGACTCACCTCAAGTACAAAATCAAATCGATAATGTACCTCGGCTGGAGACTGTACTTTTCGCAGGCGGAGATACCATGTACCGGCGCTCACTAGCTCTTTAGGGCCTGAGCTAAATCAAACTAAAAAGGGAAGCGGCTTTTTCTCTACAGAGACCTATAAAAGAATCAAACGACACTCGCGTAACAAAGAACTAAAAATTCAAGACCGCACAATGCAATGAATTAAGATGCCTTGCAAAATGCAAGGAGCGTACGGTCCGAGGAATAATCTTCTCGTGACGTGGTCTCGACCGCTTTCATTCACAGACAAAATAAACTGCATCAAAAGGACTCTTTCTTTCATATTCACATCAAAAACACAAGAAGGAGATACCGGCAAATGTATGTACAAAAAAAAATCTTGCACTACAATTGCAAATCATGAAATGACTTAATCATCAACCATGACTGGTTGTCCATTAGAGGTCACTTCATAAGAGCGGTGGTGATGGATATCATCAGTTATGTAAAACTGTCCATATCTACCTGCACGCTAAAGCGTATAAACCTGGAATGCAGGAGTATCTTCTTTGATAAAAAGTTTCTCCTCATTGCAAACCAGAATTTATTAAAACTTCAGCCTGGCAACTTAAAGTCAAGCCTGGAAGCAAAGTATCAACTGTAACCAGAAGTATCTTCACTTCCTAGCCATCATTTAAATTTCAGCCTTCGCTCAGGAATTATGCCGCTGCAGACGATGAAGCTGCTTGACCAGAAGTTGGCGGCCTTCCTTTCCTTTTATTCTGCTTTTGTCTCTCCTTCCTCCGCAAGTTAGCCTCATGAAGCGTTGCTCCCATGCGATACTGTCTTCTGTCTCCAGATGAAAAGGAAGCTGGTCTGAGTGAAATAAACATTGGACCATGACTGTCCTCGTCAGTGGGCCTTGAGCACATAACCTCTGTGTCAATCATAGCAAAGTTCTCTGAAAAATTACAGATGAACTCCTTCGTGCTCACTGTGGAATTTTCATATTCCTCTTCACTCATTGAATGACCCCATTCAACAACGGTAGACAAACATGTATCGCCAAGCTGTGATCCTTGGTATTCTTCTTTTTCAACAGTAGAATATTCTTCCCAGAGTTTGTCAAAGTAATCTTCACACTTCTTGAGGACCTGTGAAGTTGAACTGTAAAAAGTTCTGGGAATAGGTGCTTTGATACCAGGATCTGCTTTTACACGAGCTTCTGAAAACCTGCGGATCCAGTGCTGCATGGTGCTGTAATAGTAGTTAGCCATTGGCTGCCTTTTGTACCCAGACATTCTGTAGGCCAAACTATTTGCATCACCAGAAATGATGTCCACCTCATAGACAAAACACTCGTAAAGCATCAATGCTGTCTGTTCTCCTGTCAGTAGGTGGGCATCCACAGCACGGTGTGTATCAACATGATAATTACAGACTCTGATGGTATGCATGTTCGCTCGAGTAAGTGGAACACGCTTGTCCTCAGGACCATAGTCATCAAATTCAAAGTCTGCATCCTTGAAATCTTGACGAGGCCTTGTTTCTCCAAAACAAATCTCGTAGATAGCCCAAGTTACATCACGCTGTTCACAGTGACCAAGGTCTTGATCATGTCCAGCAATGATCTTGACATATCCACCTGGTGCCAATCTAGCCATCACTGCAAGATTCTCCCAATCATTGAAACAAACTGTCCAATTCTTTTGCTCAATAAATTCCTTGGCAGGAACAAGAAGATGAGCTTCCTGGAGAATCACGACATGTGCACGTAAAAAGAAGAGCATGTTGAAGAAAAGGTTGTTCTCAAATTGCTCATTCTGAAGTGACATGGCGCTCTGTTTGCGTGGCCTCATTGCACTATCAAGTCCTTGGAGAAACCTTGGTGTGGTGTACTTCTGACCACGAACCATGTTGCCATAGTTCCAGGATAAAAATGTCAAGGACTCTGAGCTGGCCAATAAATTAGTTCCATATGGTTCTTCTATTCTTCCCTTGAGGAACCTTCTGCACAGCTCTTCATAGAAGGTGACAAAGTCCCAACTGGGTCCCTTGGGACCATATG